GACACGACTAGAAATCAGTGGTTAAGTTGTATTTAAAACACTGTTCCAGAACACTTCAACCCAAATATTCAGATGTGTGCAGCACATTTTATGGAGGACTGTTTCCTGATCCTGGGAGAGTAGACTACAATGCCAGCTGTTCTGACTCACAGACTGTAAGTATGTTTTTTATATTAAAGGGGTCCTATTATGCTCTTTGACAAAGTCTTGATTTTGTTTTGCGGGTGTACCAGAACATGCTCTCATGCTTGGTGGTTCGAAAATTATTTATATATATTATTTATATACATTATTTTTCACATAATTTACATTATTAAAATACCTTTCTCCCCAGCCTGGCACAAACAGCTCGATTATTTCCGGCTTTGATGAAGGTCTGCCTTCCGAAAAACAAAATGTGTTGTGATTGGTTAGCTGTCCCAGTGCGTTGTGATTGGCGAACAGCTTAGACAGTGTTTCAGTACTGCCACGCCCCTTGCTCCGTCTTTCAACAAAAGCTTTTTGGCGAATCCGTCAGGCACTGACCACAACCTCGCCCCTCCCCACCCCCCAACCATTAAAATTTCTGTAGGCGGGAATTATTTTTAATGATATTCTAATGAGCCGCTTTGTGATATCACAAAGCCCGGAAACCAACTCTGTAGTCCAAACGAGCCGTTCATTGTAGTTCTTGAAAAGGGATTTTTTAAAAACGAAATATATCCCTTTGGAGTGGACTTTGAGATTTGTAACTTTCTAGATCTTTTTTATGCCCAAACATACACACTACACACTGACTAAAATGAAAAAAAGTGAAAAAGCATAACAGGACCCCTTTAAAGAATTTGCCACTGACGATTGAAACGCGAGTTTTGGGCAGTAGAGTAGCGCTTGTTGTTTGTCATTTCTCTGATCACAAATCCGCATTTGTTTTTTATGGTTTTATGTTTACGCGGCGCGATGCAATGCGTAAAAATACAGTAAAAGTCATTATAATCTGTAATTATGTCCCCACTGGAAGCAACAAATGCCTCGTTTATAATGGGTTTTAATGTTTTTATCTCGCCACTCCGGCCGGGACATGGCATCACAATTTGGTAAGGGGCGTAACATTTCCGTCACACGCTTGAGGTATTCGGCCAATCACAACGCACTGGATAGCTGGCCAATCACAGGACACCTCGCTTTTCAGACCGATGAGCTTTGTAAAAATCGATGCGTTTCAGAAAGGCGGAGCATAGAGGAGAAACAATAATGTACAGTATGTGGAAAATAATGTGTTGTTTTAACCTTAAACTGCATATACACATTTCATTACACCAAATACACAAAATAATGTTATTTTTAGCAACATCATATGACCCCTTTAAGTGTTCACAGTTTAGCAGCTAAACTTTAGCTGTGGGCACGATTCCCTTGCACAAGTGTTTTTGTATCTTATGTCATTATTTTAAGAACGGATTGGAGCACTACATTATTGTTTTATGTAAAGGTGCTTTGTCAATGGTATCGCTT